TATATATATAGCCTATTCTACAGCTAATGTAAACACTTTTGGTTAATAGGAAAATTACACGAGTTTTTTATGTGTGATTTACAAAACATGCAAAAGTAGAAATACTTAAAGAGATTCAGTTATTTGTACAGAAACTTGCAAAAAAAATCTTGTTTGACATCAGAAAAATGCTTACAATTTTTTAAGTGGGTTTACAAAAATGTCACGTAAACATAAAAAACAATCTCAATGTGCTCATCTGTTGGTTGAACTAAAATCTGAGTCAGGAGAGAATTTGCACAYGAGGCAAAACTAACCAAACATGTTGATCAGAACAGGTTTGGACTTTTAATCTGATTCTGACATCCAGAGTGAAAACAGGGTGCATAAAAACACGATGACTGCTGCGACGYAAACCACTTGGAAAACCCTGTTGATCCTGTTGGCCACTCGGCTCCAGTAGCCGGGCTTCACCTGCTCCGGGTTGACGAGTTGATTGACCTTTTTTTTAATCTCTCCCAGCTCATCTGAGACATTTTCCACGGTGAGGAATAACTCCGTCAGCTGGCTGCAGCTGCTGCTGCCCTGTGAGAGTCATTTCAGTGGACAAGTTATGGACAAAAGTGACGTTTTAGCTGCTTTACTGGGAAAAAAAAATGTTTCTGTCCCTGTGTCACAAAACATGATACAGTATTAAAATTAATTCCTATGAACTCTTGTGGTTGATTATTTTTCCATTCATTAACAGTGAACGAGGTGTGGCAGCATTTCTGAATTATAATCTAATATTATTTACCCAATTTTATGATTTTATTGTTTCCTTCAGGATCAAACAATTTCCTCATTCAAGCTTTGTGATTTAACAGAAATTTTTTTTAAGGTTTGAATGAAAAATACACATTTTTAGTAATAGTTACACCAACCTTTTTGATAGACGTTTGATCAGCCATCTCATCATAAATAGATGCATAGTGACAACACTTCTTTAAGTCTGGAAGGTATATGCACATACGTCAAATAATGTAAGAACTTGTTAGGAACTAGACATGGGTTTTTACGATGTAAAAACAAGTGTGCATTGCCATGTAGCATGTCATTGCAGTGTGGCTTTGCCTGCAGCAGTGGACTTGCAGAATGAAATGTGACCAAGTTCAAATGTGTTTTCTATACCAGCCTGTGCCTGTCAAGTCACCAGGTGTTTGTAATAAGGGTAATTGTGTGACAATATGAAGTTTGTAGAGATTTTTTGTTAAAGTTGCTGTTGCTGGGTTTTGAACCCTGATCTCGTACATGAAAGCCCACGGCWCTAACCACGAGACCATTAGAGCTGTGGTAAAAAACGAGGCCAGGGTTTGGTTTGTATGTGTGCAGAAAGTGGCCACATTGCCAATGTAATGGTTGTCACTAATTTGAAAAATATTACAACAATAAAGCAATATTTGGACAAAATTATAGTAAAACATCAAAAATACAATCATATTAATATTGTAAACACTGAACTATTGAGAATAAATATYAAACTATGGTTTAGTACTGAGTAGATGCAGCAGGGGGCAGCATTGGACCAATACAAGGCTCTATTGACTCCCATTATAAATTATTAAACATTAATATAAAAAAACTGTAAGTTGTACAGGCACCAAAAGTCATGGTCATCATTTGGCATAGGAGCTTTACAAATATAAATTACAATGGCAGCTCTAGGACAAAGTATGCAGGAGGAGAAGCGTGCCAAAGTGGAGATGACTTGGATGAGAAATGAATCACAATAGTGTGCATTACACTGATAATGGGGTCAGATTTAGGAGTTGATAGAATGTAAAATTGTTTTTATCTGTTAGATTGAGATTAAAAGGAATTTTAAATTTTGTTTTGAYTCTCACCTCTCTCCTCCTTCATCTTTGGGTCACTTTCTGAGTCGCTGTCCTGAGGCGCTGAGTCGTTCTCAATCAGATATTTGACTAAGATCGTCTCCAGGAGGCTGAGCTTCATCAGAGCAAAGATCCCGATGCAGTAAATCACTAAAGAAGCAGACAAATCATTATGAATAAAGATGTTGAATCTGTGAGTTCTGAAACCTTTTTTCTCTTATGACATCTGCCTCTTACTTTGTGGCGTCCTCTTAGTTCATTTGAAAGTACAAGGAGACACCACTTCAACAAGTCAAAATAAATAACTGTTTCATTGAACACCAGTCCAAACATTTTCTTGGTATTTTACCTATAAGTGGAATGTTGTCTGAGGAAACGGGGAGAATCTCGTTGAGAAGAAGCTGCATGACAGTGATAGCAAGCATCACGCTGACTTTGAAGCCAATCTTCTCTGCGCTGTTCGCCATCAGGAGGGAGGCGAAGTCCAGACACAAAAAGAAGAGAACAGGCAGCAAGAAGTTTGCAACGTAGAGGGAGGACCTCCTCTTCATTTTGATCTGTCAAAGGATGAGCGAGATGATCAAAATTTTTCACTCATGGATGTTTGATTTGATGATCCGTTCCACTTAAGATTTTACGTTTATGACAACATGCATGAAGATGTAAAGTGATGTGAAAGTAGGATGTATGCAAAATATTTCTTGCATGAATAATATTTTGGTCCAGAATTCAAATTTTATGAAAATAATTTAAAAACACCCATCACATTAATTTTTTTCCCATGTCTTTCCTGTCYTTCTGGCCCTCACTATGAAAACCACTGAGTTATACGATTATTTCAGGAAGGTGATGATGAACATGAACTGACATCAACTCAGTAACATTACCTATCAAATATAGGTAATGTAATCAGCAACATAACAGCAGAATATGCAAAATATTTCTTGTGTGAATAATAGTTTGGTCCAGAATTCTATAAGAGATTCTGCAGCATTCCTGCACCACYTTTACTTAGAATGATGGTGATAAAACAGTTGGAAAACTACCTAAAACTCTTAATGAAGGTAGTACGTCTCCTATTCTGAAAAAGGCAAGGTATGAGACTGATTCTRCGAGTTTTGTCATCTATTATCTACTCTGACCAGGTGTTGAAATGCTCATATGCTGACAACATAACAGTATACTGTATCTGCATTGTTTGGCAGCAGGACAGCTCAGTGGTTAGCACCAATGCCTCAAAGCAAGAATGTCCTGGGTTCAATTCCTGGTTCTGACCTGGGCTTTTTTTTCTGTGCTGATTTTGCATGTTCTCCTTGTGCTTGCATGAGTTTTCTCCAGGTACTCTGGTTTCCTACTACAGG